CATATTTTTCTGCAATTTTTCTCGAATTTTTCAGATAAGATAACGTTGGAAAATGATTGTAACTGGAGAATACCCGATAATATGTTTACAATTTTCGTCCAATGATATATACAAACCGATAATATAAAAACTTGAATATATATGCAATTCCTCTCAAGTAATATAAGAAAATGCTTTTGTAATTTAAGAAGATTTCTTGTCTGTCTGCTCAGATCAGAGTCGTTAGTGCAAGATTAAGCAGCATTCTCTCAGCCGTCTCTTCTATTCGGCGTTACAGCACCAAATACTAAATTCGCATATTCCTAATCCGAAGTACCTTCCGCATCCTTGCATCTGTCACGAGGTGCTCCTGTCGTGCCCTTTTGTAAGCTGAGGAATTTCGGGGAGGAAAAACGGAGGGAACGGTGCGCGTGTCTAAGCGAGAATGTGCTCGCGTTCTTTGAGAAGCCGTAATGCTGTCGTGTCACGAGAGATGCGCGAGAAACCTCGTTAACGAATCCCTCAAATGCCTTAAACGATATATCGACATAATTGGCTTAGTGACACGGAGATACCAAATTTGCGTCGAAAAAATGTTCCACGGACCAATGCGACGTAACGAGACGTTATGGTACATTGATAACTCGCGCGCAATTTTAAAATTTGGAAAAAACAAGATAATAGATGCACAGAAAAAAAAAATAATCTTAAATCAGGATAAATATTATATATAAGCTAGAATATTATAATCTTCTTAATTTTAGTTTTCATTTGTTTGAATTTGCATTGATGCAAGTATTACTTTTGCTCAACTCAAAACTAAAAATCTTCTGTATGAATATAATATTACAATATTCTTATATGAGAGTACATCTATATTTGCATCAATATAAATTCAATTAAATCAAGACTAAAATTTTTTTAAGAAGATCATAATATTCTTATAAATGAGAATATATAATCTTGATTTAAGATTAATTTTTCTTGTATGGAATTCCTAGATAAAAATAAAATTTTAGGTGTCTATAATAATTTTTGTATTGAACATCCTATAATTGCTTATCGCGAATTGGAAATAAATTGGAAAATTCTATCATTCCTCATAAAAAATGATTGCTATTATATTTGTATTTTAATTGTATACGAATTGTTATCCTCATCGCTGTCGTTTATTAAACACAGTTACGTGACACACTTCCGAAGAACAATATTCAGCGTTTGTAAAAAAAAATTCTGAAGAATGTACGGGCTGTTATCGGCACGCGATCGACTTCCCATAAACCAATAGCGATTACTATATAGACTTGACGGAACGTTTCCTTCCTGGGGGCTCGACATCGTCACCTCGAAATCCCTATATCAATACGAACGAATCCAGATTCGAAGGGATAGCAAGTCCGCCGACTTGCAGGTGCATTCGGTGCATCGCCGATCGCCGAAATCGTGCCCATTTCCCGCTATTGTCGTGCACGTTTTTCCAAAGGACCGCCACCGTCCGCGCTATTGTAGTCTTGACGACAATGGACTGATGAGCCGGTATTGTCGAACTCGTCGAACTCTGTTTGCACCGGATACGAAGGGACGATGCGGCGCGAGAGAGAGAGAGAGAGAGAGAGAGAGAGAGAGAGAGAGAGAGAGAGAGAGGAGGAGGAGGAGGAGAGAGAGAGAGAGAGAGAGAGAGAGAGGGAAGGGGGAGACAATGAGAGAGAGAGAGAGAGAGATCATATCATAGTTTTGCGAGGCGATACGTCCAAAAATCGGAAATCGGTCGAGAATGGTTTTTCGACGACGCTCGAGTAGTTCGATGACGCTCGAGAGAGTCTCGTACGTTTGATCGCAAACAGACCCGCGTTATCGCGTCCGACATCCGCAGTATTTGGATCCGGTAATTCCGAAGGATTAATCCGAAGCCGGAGCGAACGGAGTAGTATTTTCTTGGGAATTGGGATTCTCTTGGCTCCAAGTATCGCGAACGACGGACGCGGGAAATGTATGCGCACAAGACACCGCGATTTTCTTCAAAAGGGCAAATCGAGGCGGGATCTCTGCCAATGAAACGCACAGCGCGCGCGCGCGCGCGTGTGTGTGTGTGTGTG